TTCTGTCATAGCAGGAATATAATGGAACAGGTGAGAAAATAATGATAATGATGAACAGCTACATACCAGGGATGGAGTGAGGAGTGGAGTCAAAAACAGTTGGTGGAGGGAAATGTACTGACTATGGTGATGGCACATGGGTGATTTGGTGATGGGAAACCCTAGGGGGTTACAACTGATATGGAAAAATGCACAAAAATATGTAAAAATAAACTACTATAAAATTAAAAAAAAAAAGGAAGTTGAAGCTCAGAGAGGTGAAGCAATTTGCTTAAGGTCACACAGCTGAGATTTCTGTACTTCCTACTCTGAGTCCTATAGGGCCTGCCTTACCAGTTTGCTTCAGGGCTCACCAGCCCCTTTCTGAACCATACCTGTGTCTCCATTGATATGGGGTGTGTGGGGGTGGGGTGGGGAACAGCTGCAGCCCAAGGGAGGGGAGCAAAGCACCAAAGGGACAACACCCAGGGGTGGGTGCTTTGTGTGGAAGATTAACTTGGGGTTGGTGACGACATCCCTAGCAGGAGCAACACTGGCCTGATGGATGGGTGGGAGCTGGGAACCCCCATTGCAATCTGCACTGGAATGCACAGCACAATAGACCCAAGAAAAGCAATTGGAGATGTCCCGAGTGACCATCTGTGCTCTGAAGCCCCACAGGTAGTGGGTGACTGCTTCCAGCCCCTCCTTCGTTATCACTTGTGTCTCATTTTCATCTACAAGGTGGTAGAAATTTTCCAGCACAGCCCTGGGGGCAGGACTGACAGGTTGCTGGCAAGTCCAAGAGGAGGCCCTGCTTCCTGAGGATTTTCAGCCTGTGATGGTCAGCTGTCTCCCATCACCATGGTCCGAGCAACAGGGTCTGCCTTTGAAATGGCAGGGGCAGGCCAGAGAGAGCAGATACTCCACCATGTCAGTGTCTTAAATATAGAAGGCTGAAGGCCTCTGGGAGGAGGGAGAAGAAAGAGCGTTCATCCCCTTATATTCCCTCAACTTTGTCCATCCAAACACCACGCCTGTACCCATTCTTTCTCTATCCATGTGTACGGACCACTTCCCTGTTGTTAGCTCACTTGTTTGTCCTTCCTCCCTCCTTTCTAATATTCACTTGTTCGTCAATCCATTATCCATCCATATATTCTTAGTCATCCAACTACCCACCTGCCCACCCATCTATCCATCCACCCACAAATCCGCCTACCAACCCATTCATCAACTTATTCATCCACCTCCATCCATCCATTCCAGATACCTACCTACTACCCATCCTGATTCATCTGCCTACCCACACCCACACCTACCCATTCATCTATCCATCTCTCCACCCACCTACCTTTCTTACCTTTCTCTCCCTTCATGCCATATCCAATGGCCTCTCCAACTATCCAAACATCTATCTTCTGCTTCTGCCCATCCATCAAAGTAGCCAACTATTCAGCCAATCAATCAGCATCTCTTCTCTTATTTCCACCCACCTCTCCTGATCAACACAACCATCAAGTCCTCCCTGACTTTGTTTCCTTCTGTGTGCTAACCTAAACATCCCAATTCATAGTTGGGCAAGGGATACCAATGAGATGACTCTCAACTCACTGAGTCCCCAGAACAGCTGAGTCATGATGTGATGTGATGCCTGGGACAGGGGCTCCCTGTCTGTACCTCAGGCCATAGACTTTATGACTTCTTCTGCCCAGGCTGTCTTAATGGTTTTCCGTTGCTTCCCAGTGGCTGGTTCTGCCATGTACAGACCCACTTTGGGGCACATCCCTAGCTACCAGCTTGCCCATCCAGTCTCCTCTCAGGGCAGCTGACATGCACACTGCCACCCAACATTCTCCATCCTGAAAACATCAATGTGTGCTCCAGGGGCATTGAGGATGCTGCTATACCTTCCCTTGCTGGACCCACCCAGAGACCTCTGTCCTCTTCACAGAGGGCCCTTTTTTGTGTTCTTACCCTAACCCTGTGAGGTGGGGATTTTGCCCTCACTTCATCTAGAGCAGCGCAGCTGGACAGCAGGGCCAGGAAGGGGGAAAAGGCACATGACGCCCAGGGAGTGGCTGCCTCCTGGTCACTGCAAGGGTTGGATCCTTTCCTCCAGGCTGCTGTTTTAGCCCAGAGGCCCTCTCTCCTCATGTGCCTGGCCTGCAGGGTTTACAGCTTATCCCTGGAGGCTGAGAGGAGACAGGACATTCTGCTCAGATAGCATGTGGTATTATTTCCACTGCTTCTATTAGTCTGGTTCTTGTGGAACATCCTTTCCCAACTGGCAGTCCTTTGTTCAGAACCTCTCACCATCAGCCAGGACCAGATATGATGCAGGGACAGGAGGAAGAGGCCTTGGGGGCATAGGCCTGAGACAAGCAGGACTAATGGGTCATAGACCCATGGCCTGACCATATGACCTTGGAGTCTCTGAGTGGGTCTTCCTCGCTTGCTATCTCATGCCATCATGACAGAAGGGCAGTGGGGAGATCAAGAGGTCAGTGTAGAACCAAAGGCCTGCGGGACCCTCCCTGATGGCATAGCAGGTTAAAGCACAGCATTACAGAGCTAAAGCTACTTCAGCACAAGTTCAATCCCTGCCCCGGAGGTGACCACATGGTGTGGCAGACCTTTCCTGACCTGCCCACTGCTCCCTCAGCAGTATACTTCATCCATCTGCCTGTTCTGCTCCCCACTCTGTCTCTAGTGAGTCCTCTCA